TTTTTGTTCATATGTGGTTTACTCCATTGTTCCTATGGGTAGAAATTCTCCAAATACATGTACAAACCATTCCCAGATATTAAACTGAACGAGCTTGCCTCTGATAATTTAGATAATATAAATATCAGATCTGCTAGAGTCACATCCTACATACTGTATACCTTTATTTAAATATATGCTACATTTGGCATATTGATTTGGATTGTGAGCTTAATTAGACAGCAAAGGGCCCTTAACCCTGAAACACAGAGGGCTGAACTTGGGCTGGTGGACAGGAGTATGTATCTAAGCCTAGTCCTTCACTTCCCTCCCTGGATGTAAGGCAGACCTTTCAGTATTCATAGCAAAGGTCTGGAGAGGCACTTTGGTGCACATACTTAGCTGGATGATCAACAACCCTGGGATTTCAATCACAAGGAGTTTTTAAGTCTGTTCAGTCCAATGTACTTGTAAGTACTTCTGCTGACTTTCATACTGAAACATCAAGGTCTGCTTTACTTTTGAAGCCAGGAAGAGAAAATAGGAAGGGTATATGCATCCCTCTGTCCCCATCACCCATTTAGTCCTAAGAGGCTTTGGATGAGGCAGTAAATGTGTATACAGAAGTAGTATGCCCTTAAGAGGAAAATATTCGCTGTCTACTCAAAACAGAGTTTGTCTCAGTCTATATTTGCCAATTCAGCTTAATTTTGGGTTGTAATCAGTCAACTGGTAGATGGATATCTCAGCTCTGAAAGATCAGTGTTTCATGGAACGATAATGCTGTAACAGGAGGAACTATATTTCCACCTTAACATGTGGTCTGACAGTTAGTTAAGATGTAAGTTAAACCATCATCACTTTTCCTTGGGTTTCAATAGAACTCAGGTTCAGCTAAATCCAAACCTTCACTAAAATATCCAGGTGTTGTTTTATATTTCTTTGAGAAGAAATAAGATCTATGTATTAATCTATGTGGCTTCAGGACTGAGCTTGAATAGAATATAACCGTGCTTTGCTTCAGGTTGGTCTTATCTGATGTACAGTACTTCTAATTTGTTGTGCTTGACAGAAAAATAATCTTTGACAAAGAGTAACTCTTTATCTTAATTATGCCCTAAAAATAATAGGTAAGCTGGTTTAATTTTACAAGCATGAGTATATGTAAGTTGCTGCCACCCATAGTATGTGTAAATATAAGTAGCAATTAATGGAACTTCGTTATCTGTCATATCTAACAAACAGTAACTATTTTTGTGCTCTATTTCTAACCATTCTCCATTACCTTTTGCTGTGTCCCCCCAAATACTAGCAACTTTGAAAAATGAATGGAATTGCTGTGGGGTGCCAATCTTTTCAGTACTTATGATATTTTAACTTGCAAAGACTTAATATGATATTAGATAATGTTATTTCGACAACAATTTGATATTAGTAGTGACAACCAGTCTGTGAGTATGGGTATGCACATATGCATGCCTCGCCCCACCATTTTGTTGGTTACATTAGCAAGAGCTGTTGAAGCACATTATTTTCCCATTATCTTTCACTAAAAATTAACTGAATAACTTAGACAAGTTGTCAGGAACAGAATATATCATCCAACTCTTTGGTTTTGTTATCAGGCTATGTGAAGGATACTGTAACTAAGAATAATGTTGATTTTTTTTTCTGAATACAATAACACTGACAAAAACTTAGATTGTAGGAGGGGGGGAAACACCAGATTCTAACTGGATTTCTGTGTCATTTTTAATTCTGTTACAAAACAACACACACATACAAAATAGAAAGAAAATTGCTAATAATATTGTTAAAGAATGGGAACCATTATTGGATGAAGTTGAGGGGGTCAGAAGGGACTACATCTTAGGCTGCAATCCTACACTCACTTGTTTGGAAATAAGTGCCAATGAAGCTTATTTCTGATTAGAAGACACTTCTAGCATTGTGCTGTTCATTTCTATGTTCCACTGCAAGTTCATTTTGAATGGTTTTGGATATGCTGCATTTGTATTTTCAGTACTGGATTTTAAAACTAGCACACTGTTTTAAAAGGGGGAAAACCTTCTCAAGTGAATCCTTCCTTCAGGGGTCTGTTCTACCCTTGTAAAGCTATGAGCATAAGACAGTGGTATGTGGAAGTAAGTTCAGCTGAAATCAGGTGGAACCTGTGTTTAAATGTGTTTAAGATCAGGATGTGGTGGTACAATCTTGCAAATTCCACAGTGTTTTTTTTGGCATTCCTTACATTGAAAGTTATCATGCAGTGACATCTACCTTAATGGCACAGAAAGAGAACAGTTCAGAGCAGGAACATTGTTCAACACGATGTTTAAAGCTAGCTGTGTTAATACAGTAAAAGCACCATCCACAACAGAACAGGTACATTGCAAAATACCCCACAATCTCAGTCCTTAACAAAGTCAGTGTTGGGTTCATGATATTTCCAAAGACTTATGAAATGTGTCTTCATTTAAATCTTGTATCTTAATAATACAAGAAACCTGTAGTTTCTCATTTGACTCAAACACATATTTCTATCAATAACGAATATTTCCACCAGAAATACCAGCAGACCCAGATCATAGGCTCACTATAGAGACGTGCTATTTTACATCAGTTATATTGGATACACTCAAGCTCCTTTTTTGATGAAAAATGATCAAAAAATTATTATGTCCATATAGGATGCCCTGAGGAAGACCATCCACCACATGCAGCTATCAGAAATTGTCATTGTGAATCTTGTTCCAAAATGAACAAAGGCTCACCAGAACACAAGGCTAGTAAGCTTCAAATGGGAGTTGTAGAACAGTGCATACTGAAAAAACTGCATTTCCACATTTTTGTAGATCTTTGTTTAAAAATGTGGTGTCTGAAAGAATGGGCCTTTGTTCAGTTGTCCCTAGGGAGAGAGCGGCATAGACCTCAAGCTCAAACAGGCAGATCCCCACCTCTCATTTGCTCATTCAATTGCAGGGAGAAGTGACCAAACAGGATACAACTTGATATTATCAGACCGTGGAATTTCCTATAACCTTAAGAGATTTTTTTTGGTTAGGGTTTAGAGCAAGAAGTAAGGAATTTCTGTGCCTCCAGATGTTGCTTGATCACAGAATCCATCATCTCTGACCTCAAGACTATTGGCTGGGGCTGACAGGAACTGAAATGTGACATCTAGAAGGCCACATGGTTTGCCACCCTTGGTTTCAAGAAGCTCACCACTTAAGGCCAGAAATCTCACAGTGAAATTATGTTGGGACCATTAGTGTTCAGTTTGCTTAAACTAAAAGTATCAGCCTCCATATTTATTTCTGGTTCAAGAATGATAGCACCACTCTATAAATGATATACATCTGCTAACTTGAGCATTGAGTCCTTCACACTTTTCTGACTGATTTCGGTAGTAATAAAATCTAATCATATAACGGCTGAAATCCAGTAGAAAATTGCAACTAGAATAAGCTAACTGAATCAGTGGAGTTTACACAGATGTCGACTAACCAAATCCCCGCTGATTCAATGGATTTCCACCAATGATTATTCTGATGATGATGATGATTATGTAAGCTGCAAAATAATGTTTCACTTGCCAAAGTTACAGGAGCAGGCCATGCAACAGGCACACTGATTTAAAGGCAAGTCAGAAAATCAATGCCTACACTTCAATTGTGGCAGCCCCTGTACCCATTTTCACCACACACTTATTGTGGTTTGAATGCAATGGAATAGTTGCACAATACTGTAAGATGGAAGATTTAGATAAGGCCAAAACCTAAACAATAATAATAATAAAAAATAAAAATATCACAGCTCTCATTTTGCTGCAGGGGATGAAGTTAAACTTCTTTGTGGGTATATCAGTCAGTAGATTTGACCAATGGTTCTATGCTTTCTACACTGCAAAAGAAATGCCAATGCCATCAATCCAACATGCTGTTGCATGTCTAAAAATCCCACTGAAGCCAACAGCACTGCCCATACTGAACTCTGTTCCAATTCCAACTCTGTTCCAATGGCAGCAAGTGGGTAAGTCTTCCATCAGGGAAAAATCTATGCTTCCCAATGAAGCATACACAAAAGCTCACTGGGGACCCCAGGAAAAAGGATGCGGTTTGCACAGCAGTACGATCTGTTGGGCTGAGCCCAGAGTTTGAAAATTTTGCTTTTTGGACTACAGCTCTCAGACGTATAGCAATTCTGGAAGTTGTGGTCCCAAAATGCAACTTTTCTGAGCTTCAATTGAGCCAAATGGTGTCCCTCATGCCAACATGATAGCTTCTTCTCAAGCCGCAGGATCTTTTTTTGGAACTTATATGGGAACAAATCTTGTTCAATAACTTCCAAAGTTCCAGATAAAACAAGCTGTGAAGTCCTTGTGGAGAAGGAAAGGCCTGAAATTTGTGATATCAGAACAATAGCATGAACAGTTGCCCCCCCCTTGCCCCAGTAAAAAAGAAAACCTATGCTTAAAAAACAACATCAAAATGCTTTTTAAGGCTCTCACACATGTGTAACTTCAAAATCCTTGGAGGCTGATCATACCTGCTCGATATATAAAGTAAAATTCTTCATATACATTTATAAGTTTTATAAATATATTCCATACATAAATATGCATATTAATATCCATCTATGCATATTCATATATTATATATTTATATTCCTAACTATAGATATAGATAGATTTGTTTCAAATACGGAAATGTTTGTGTGTGTATGTGTTCACTTTCCGTTTCTGTCTCACCCTTTAAAAAATAATCCTATAGCAGTACATTTGGTGAGAAATCATCTTTTCGCAATTCATCTCCCTTGAAGAGCTAGAGAGAAAAAAATTAGAGCAACCCAACTGCAAGGCAATGGAGGCAGTCACTTCCAGTTCACAGTATTGCAGTTAGAAAAAAAATACAGTGAGGTCTAAGGGAGTGAAGGAGCATGAGCTGCTCGGAAGAAGAAGAAGAAAGGAAGAGGTGGTCACATGACAATACAGCATTGACAGCGCTTTTTCTTTTCTGTACCTGGGACTTTTTCCATTGGTAGACTTTCTTCTTTTACCTCTGGTGAGGAAGGTTCTGTTGTGTCTGATAAGGGCCTCCCAGAAACCAACTCAGCAGCGTTTCCATCCATGGTGGACACATCAGTCACCGTCTTCTCACGTAACGACTTCTCGTCATCTTCATCAATGAGGACCAGTTCGGCCTTGATTGTCTCATCATAGCCCAGCACCTTTTTTGTCTCGTCTTCATCATCAATGTTTTGGTATCCCATAAATATCATTGTTACTGGGTGATCTGCGGTGGCTTCAGGGATGTCATCCCCAGAAAGTTTTGCTTGTTGTCGAGGGTTCCCAGAATGCCTTTTGCTAGGTTTGTGCACCATCTCTAATTTCGCTTCCTTGAAAAGCATCTGTTCCTTTGCGTGGCTGAGGTTCCCATCTGCTATTGATACAGTACCTCCTTTAATGCTTGATTGTCCAGCCTTCTGAATAAGTTCATCTACATCTTTTGAGCTTAATTTATGTACTCCATTTTCTACCACTGCACCTCCAGAGTGCATCTCATAGACTACTTTGGTACCATCATCATAGACTTTGATTCCTCTTTGACGGGCAGCCTCTGGGCCAATGGGGGATGTAGAGAGAATCTTGGTCTCTCCTGTCTGTTTGTCTTTCTCCACATTAATTTCCATGCTGTACAAAGCTTGAATGGAAAGAAGAGAGGAAGTGCATGTTACAACAACAAAAAGCAGGTGAATGGTTAATTGCCAAACAGACAAGCAGACAACTGTGCCCCCAAAGAAGCTGTTCCCCGAAGTGCCAAGCATTCTATGTTAGAGGTGTAATGCACAGCGTAAAGAGAAGCAAGTTTGTTATACTAGAGCAGCTGATGCTGTCAGTGCCAGCCATACCTACTGTGAACCCAAACAGTTTCCTAATGTTATCCTAACAGTCTGTTAAACTAAAGAAGTGACAAGCAAATAGGTCTACCACCATGTTTCCACAGATACATTATTTCAAAATGTTAAGGCTGGTGTACATGGTCATTTTACGAAACCTGTTTCCAATAGTACTGAGACCAATGTGGCACACAACACAGAAAGTATTGGAAGAGTCTCTGGTGACATGTACAATATCAGTCAGTGTCATCACTGAAAAGCCTTCCTTGTTATGCAGGAACAGCTGATGATTTGGAGGTTCTATGGTAGCTTTCCTCAACCTACAGCCCTTCATGTGTGTTGCACCACAACATATGTAGATTTGGCCAGCATGTTGGAAGGGGGAAGTAGGACATGTGGTACCACACATCAGCAGACGGCAGGGTTGAGGTAAGCAGTCACAGAACTTCAATATCATCTGGAATTTCTTTATAACTTGCAAAGGTACAAAAGCTGTATCTTCAGTGCTTTGCTTCAGTGCAACCACATTTGAGGGAGTGCAGTTGCACTGATGGGTGCACCATTGTGCGCTATAATTTTGCAGGAGTATAGAAATGCCTCAGGATGCGGTACATGGTGGCATAGGATGTGACATCCAAAGAATCTCTCAGCTTCAGTGAACAAAGCAGTTGCCCACTCTTCATAGTTACAAATATATACTTAAACTTATGTGGGATAAAGGCCTGGTAGGGGAGCAGCACAATGAGATTTCTGAAAGCCATCACCAGCAAAAATAGACTAAGTTACACAAGTAAAAGAAATAATGCAAACCTCCTTCAATTACTTAATTGGTACCAGCTGCAAAATCCAGCAATTATTACACACAACAATCCCATAAGAGTACAAAATTACAACGTATTCCTATGTTTTGTGTTTGCACAAGGATCCACACGCTTCTCCTTTAGCTTAACAAAAGCTGGGCGGCGGGGGGGGGGGTGAAGCATCATTTGATCTGCTTTTAACCCAGCTCCGAGAAGAAGAGGATGTTAAAAAGAAAAGGGACAAATGAGAAATGAAATGCCCTGTTAAAGCAAAAGACATGCAAGATGCAAAGTATGTGCCTATACCTTTTTTCGGATCCAACGGAGGTTTTTAAAATATGTGTTTACTATATTCAGGACTTTTTATTATACAGATAATTTCTGTGCAACTGATGACTGGAAACAGAATCTTTGGACTGCCTGTGTTGAAATGTATTGCAATTTTGTGATATGACAAAATATGGACACTCTTTCTATAGAGGATGTGTCTGGCCCATTCACGTGTCACCTTCTGAGACCTCAGTCAGCAAGTGACAAACATATAGATATGCACAAACTGTCCCCAAGATACAGGCAAAAACTAAACTGAGGAGGAGGAGGCAATGAAGCTTACATTGGAAACAATCTTAGCAGACATTTTTTTCTCATGGCCAAATAAATGCTGGTGTTTTTTTGAAAAATAATCTACCCAAGAGATTTGGCATTACATGCTAAGCCTTACCTCCATACAGTATTTCTCCTCCAATCCAAGGATTCTAGGAGAGAGATGGCAACCCATCCACTAGTTAAACCAACTCCTTATTCAGGAAATACTGTCATTTGAAAAGAGACTCCCTATAATTTTAGGAAAAGGGAAGCTAAAACAAATGCAGCAAGCGCACATGGAAAAAATGTAAGAAGTAGATGTGATGGGTCTTGATCCAGTGTGCCTTTTCCTGTCCCTGATCATCCACTGACCCTTCAATCAATTTCTTATTTTTTTTTTTAAATGAAGTTTCTAGTCCTACAGGACTGAAAAAAGGTTAGGATCTAAGTGCAATAGATGCCAGATACTGTTGGTAGAGAATTCGAAGGCATTTCTGATATTCTGAGCATATTGAAAGTTGTATTTCTGGGTCAGTTTTCTTAAGGCCATCTTTCTTTAAAGTATAGATGAGAGGGAAAATAACTTCCTTCCTCCCTCATATAAATAAAAAGCTGAGGTGGGCAGCTTTACTGGTTTTTGGAGCCAAATTTGTCCCTTTCCTACTACCTTCTACAGACTACAGAACAACCAGGGGCTGAAAATTTCCTGGCCCACAGCTACAATGCATTTAAAGCTTTACGTCAGGGGTCTCAAACTCAATTTACCTGGGGGCCACTGGAGGCAGAGTCTGGGTGAGGCTGGGCCGCATCAGATTTTCCACCAAGCAGAACAAGAACCCGAGGAAAGCCGCCCAGGAGTTTCCTTAGCCTGGCTGGGGCTCCGAGGAGGAGGAGGAGGGACGTGTGAGCCCTTGTCGCTGACCAAC